ACAAATTTATTTTTATAACTTGAATTAAGTAAAAAAGAGTATAACTACTCTTAATTTACTTTTGAATGTAAAATGATCTTAACTTATAAAATAAAATAAAATAAAATAAAAGAAGATAATTTTTTTTTCTTGTTTCAAAGGTAAATTTATTTTAATTTTTTAATAAAAATATGGAATTAGTATTTTCAGTTCATGTAGTTGTTTATTTTAATCTGGCAATAATTGTAGCATGGAGCCGTGGTGTAAACGCTCTTGCTAATACTATTGCTAGTTTGGAAAGAGGACCGGGGTCACAAGACACCACCAATGCTTCTAGAAGAATTATGGTGATTTATTGCAAAGGACAAGTTACAATAATGTATGCCATCTATTCCTTTTCCAAAGCAAATCAATAAGGAAAACGCAACCAAATACACGATAACATTTAATATACATTGACCTTTCATTATGTTTGAAAAAATTCCGTAATTTATCATTACCATCGATCTCACGAGGGACTTCACCGTCAACTCCCCATCACACTAATAATGAAAATTCCATCCGCAACTGTATCCTTCGAACAATTTTTTATTAATTTTCGGAATACATTATTATAATATTAATTTTAATTTTAATTTTTTTTCTACGTCAACTGATAAATTTTTGAAAAATATCTGAATTTTTTTAATATTATAACTATGTACTTCTCGAAATACATAATTATAATACTACCGTTGCACTACAAATTTATTGATATCTTTATCGTTGTGCTTTGAAGTTAAACTTTGAACCATTCCTCACATGGAGCTTCCTCATTAATGTGGGGAAAATATATGGACATTCTTCTCTTTAGTTAACATCTACAATCAACTTTTTATAAACGCTAATAATATTGTCATTTCAGTTTCGAAATTTGTTTATCATCAATTTAAGCCTAAATAATATAATTTGTTATCAATTTAGTTGTGGAAAACTTAATATCCTATTTATGAAAATGACATTAATTTAATTTTTAATTATATAAAAATTATTTTGATAACACTTTATATAATTGTGAGATTGAATCCATAATAAAAAGATTTTGAAGATTAAGTGACATCAATAATAAAAGTAGGACTTTATTCTAAAATTTATTATATTGATTTGGACAATGTATAGGCCCAATAGTTAAAAGCCCACGAGGGACCCAAGGTGGTGGGCGCAATGTCCATATTGCGCGGACCACTCTTATTGTGCAGGATAGATTTATTGCGTAACCTATCATACTAAGCTGCCAGGCAAAACTTAAGACTAAAAAAGGACATAGAGATCTTATAAGGTTCACCGTGCATGAAAACCAGTATAGATGAGGTAATTTTAGTTTGTCACCACTCTACAAAAACAGACTTGCATTTAGACTTGTTCATCAAGAAATAGCCTGCAGGTAACAACTGTGACAAAACGGCAGCCACCCTGAATTACCAATAAGAAGAGATGCCGTATACAAAGGACAAAGCACACTATAAATACAAAGGGATCAATCACAGATACATATCTCTCAGTTCAAAATATATACACCTCGCATTGATACTGACTTGAGCATTGGAATGTCTTTGCAGGTACCCCCAATTATTTCCATTGTGCCAGAATCACAACATCACCAATCCAAGGAGAAGTCCATTCCACCATAGTTTCAAACTAACTTGCTACAGTTCTGAGACCCATAATCTTCAACCTTAAACTGTGTATAGTTTGGCACATCCAATCTTGGACTCGTCAGATCATATACTCTTGCTTTAATTAGATAACACGACTCTTTACACTGAAACGGAAATTTTATTACAACTATTTACCCCACCAAAAAAAATACACCTATATAAACTAGAGCCAGGATTAATTTATATTGATGTTAGTATTATACACAATTTTAGTTATTAATTTTATTTATATCTATCAAGTTAATTTGCTATTAATATAAGATTGAATGTAATTTTTTCAATTTTTGTGTCAATATAAGTTAATACTATTCCTTTAAAATAATATGAAATTTATATCAAAATTTTTATGTGCAAATAATGGCTTGATTAAAAAAAGTATAGAAATTTTTTACCAAAAAAAAAAGTCTCGAAAAACATACAAGACGGGATAATGATATTAAGAAAAAGAAGAAGGTTTTTTATATACACGAGAGAATTGAACACATAATCTAATATAATTTATCTAAATTTCTCATCATTAAATCACTCCTAATGACTTAAAAGAAGATTTAACATTTTCAAAATGAGGGAAAACAACAACAGTTATTCTAGATCTAGACATAATTGATATTGTTTTCTCTTATTCCTTATTAACTTGAAATGGGTTAAATTCAGAATTGATACAACCCAATTAAGTTTGGGGTTTGTTTTCTTATGGGACAGTTGGTAAGTGAATTTTCCTGCACACAAATATCGGTGGACTCATTATTTAAAAAAAAAAGAACTCAATTTTTAATCTTTTAACAGAAAATACTATTCATTCTTTATGCGGCAGAAGAATAGTATTTTCGATTAAGTTTGTTGTGTGCAACCTTTTTTTTTTAGTTTGGACTACGTCAAAATTAATTATTACTGAACAATACTGTGTGTGATGTGGAACGTGTGGGGATGGGATGGACCCAAATCCAGTTAATATATATTGTTTGAAGTTAATTATTTACTTCTTAAATAGCCGATTATATATTGTTTAATGGTGACTATATATAATTTACTTACATCAACTTACTACTAAGAAGTCTTACACCCTATGGATGGAAAAAAATTCGTAATTATCGATTTTCCTTTAAAATGGCACGTGAACGCTTCTCATTTGATGCTAAATATGGACAAACAACTTGCCACTGGTATGATGCAGCTTAAATACGAACAATACGTTCGGGTAAAGGGTCAACATTCACTCCATTTGTCGGTGAAAGTTGAAAGCTCTGCTCTACAAAAAAGCAAAAATAAAAAAGTTACACAACTTTAGGTAGGGACCATACCCCAAGATAGATGCGGATGGCCACAGCCAATTTGCAAATTTCCTTCGTCTCTTTCTAAAATGCAGTGGACTCCTATGCCTTAGCCCTTAAAGAAACAGGAAAAAGGTGCGAAAACCTTTGATTTTGAACCAACATTTGGAGTATAGACGAGTCCCTATCCTATTGAAGTAATAAAAGCTAACGCTCTTTTGAACCAAAGTTTTAAAATTACTTTTACAAATGTTTTTCCTCTTGCGAGAGATACATTATTTTCAAAATGATTGTTATTTGATATCATAAGAAATAAGTTATTTTCATGCATGATTAGAGAAATATAAATTGTTTGCGCACAGTAGTGGATCCAGAATTTTTTTTTTATGTCCGCATATTTGGTGGTGTTCCCGATTTTTTTTTTTTGTAAAGACAGTTTAGATTCCCTCCTAAATCTTATCAATCCTCAAAAACAAATATTAAAATATACTCCAGTACATCCATACATCATCATTCTATTTTATACTGGCAAACAAAAAAATCAACACTACCTATACAGAAGGCAAGCGAAATCACAGTGAAGGCCTCGTCTCTAGAGATTAATTTATTTAAGAATGTCAGACCTGCAATCAATCCTCTCTTTTTAGAAAAATGAAAAAGGAAACAAATGATGAAGAGAGCATGAGAATGGGTACGTGACAGGAGAGCAAGAATAAGTTTTCTCTCTAATCAATTTGCGTTGCTACGTTGTTTTAATCATTTATGTACGTTACTAACTTAATATAAGAGTAAATGCTCTTTTTTGTCCCTAACAAAAAATTTGGTCCCCACTTTAGTCTTTTACAAAAAACATTTAGTGACCTGATCCCTATGAAATTCAAAGTGAACACATTTTAGACATTTTGAGCGACTAATGTAAGTCTTTTTTGAATTTGTGAGGATTAAGATTTTAACTAAATTGATCCACTTTGAATTTCTTAGGAACCTCAAGAATAATTTTTTTATAAGGGACTAAAGTGAGGACCGTATTTTTTGTTAAAGACTTAAAATGGTATTTACTCCTAATATCAATATTGAACCAAGAGACAAATAAGAACCTGCAACAACAAAAAGAAAAGCTAAAATCACCAATTTTATATCCGCACTTGCGGATATGTGACCCAACCTGGGTCCGTCAGTGCACACACACACATGTAGAAAAAGGTTATAAATCATAACCGTTGATTGGCGAAAATCAACAGTGTTAAGATATGATTGTAAGAGGTTGTAAAAAAAAATATTGAAAGTATAATCAACCTCATATATATATATATAAACAATGACAAAAGATGAGAGAAAAAAAACTAAAATAAAGATTAAAAAATAATTATTAATTTATCTATTAATAATTAAAATTATATTATATAATATAATTATTTTAAATAACATATAAGAGAATTCATTTTTTATATATATAATCAAGCTTTGTTGAAATTTTTTTCTACTAATTAATGTTTGGGGATGTTTTTCTCCTATGACACATACCTTAAAAGTCGTGTTGATCATATTTATTATTTTTTTAAAAAAACTGATGGGTCCTACCGGCACATTCAGATAAATTTTGACATAATTTATAAGTAGACGGGTTGTTTATGGAAATATTTTTAATACAACGGAGTACGAAATTTGGTATTCCTTTTTTCTTAAATCAATTTTTTTTTTTATAATATCTTTTGAATCCATAATATTCACTCGTTGTTTATGGTTTGTAGATTTCTGAATTTTCTTGTTTTTAAGTTTCTGGTTGTTTCGAGTTGTACTGTACCCAGTTGACGGCCAAACCTCAAGCTGCGTTTCTGGGTCCTGATCAGTTCGAGTGAATATTATATCGTTTCTTTTAAAATGAATTGGGTAAATTAACGTTTAATAAAAAAATTAAAAATAAAGAAACTTAAGTATTTTGCATTAAACCGGATGAGTTGAACAAAATTTTCAGATTTTATATATCAATTTTATAATTGAATCATGAAAATGTTAAATTCAGATAACTGTTGTGACAATATTTTATATTTTGTACTGTAAGTTCTATTATTAAAAAAATTAATATCTAAAGAAAGTCATAAATTACATTCTTAGAACTTAGAAGAGTTATAGAGTAATCTATTTATAGATACGATCCAACGTAAATTAGATGCTAAATATTTGATCGTTCTTCTTAAAATATTAATACCCACAAAAAAAAGAAAAAAGAAAAAAGAAAACAAAGAGTGTCTAGTTTCTAGAAGAGTGGAAAAAGGCTAAACAATAATGTTGGGAGGTGCGAGAGACAGTGGGGCCCGAGTGCAATTTGGAGTTTGGAACTTTTTCTCTGAAACTGATCTGGAACCTTTTCCTCCCTCACTTGATCTTATCAATATCTGGGACAGTGTAATAAGCGACTAACTTTTTTCGACATGCCAATCCCATCCATGTTGCCAAACTCCGCTTTTACATTTTTCAATGCCAATCACTTCCCTTATCCATTTTCCACACTTCTTCACATTTTACATTCTAGTACAAGGACCATACTGTCACATCTTGCCAAAATTAATATCAATTTGCAACGGGTAAAATTACGTTACACTACACTTAATAGTTAATCCTGTTAATTCTACTATTGAAATCACTTTTGGCACGTGTACAGATTAGAAATTCCACGCTATCTTCATCATAATGCACCCCATTAAAATTGGATTTCAAGATTATCTTTCCATATTTCCCCTAATATTTGTTGATTTGATTCTTATTCAACATTATAAAGTGATCAATCTATCTCATATTTATAAATTAAATTCAAATAAACCCTAATCTGCGCTATCTTCTTCGGCTGTTCTTGAGCCTTCTGAGAGCAAATAAATAGTCAATCCTAAAAATTGATGATTAGGGAGTCTCTTCTTATATTTATTTATTTGAAAAAACAAATGAATATAAAATAAAATTGATGGTGAAGGATACTTTGCTTGCCGGTGACGCCCAAACTGTTTCTCCACACGATAGGGATATAATAAAAGCTGGGTGGTGCAAAATAAATAACGAAAAATAACAAAACAGGAAAAACGGTACACCGTTTACCCCCGAATCTAACAGGCCCACGGAAAGTCAACATCCAATCACGTTACTTGGTGACGAAACATCAATTATTGAAAAAAAAATAAAAAATAAAAAAATCATCAATATATTAATATGTTTTTTAAAATTTAAAATATATATTTGTTGAGCTAATTTTTTTTTTAAAACCAACAGCTATCCCTGAATCCCAAGTTGTCTCTACTCTCTTGTGTGTTTGCGAGTTGCTGGTTCACAAAACCTTCTAGAACATCCACCGTTCTTTTTTTTTTTTATTTCCTTTTTCGTAATATATCTCTTAAACTTATCTCAAACACCATGTGAGTCCTCCTGTCACTCCTATAAAACTCAATAATATATTCACATCTCCCATTATCACCGTTCCCACACATAACCTTATTTATATGTTCACTTCAAAATTCTTCTATACTATCAACTTTCTCTATAAACCCCTATATATATAGTAAACTCTCAAACTTTCAGCTATAAACCTTTCCTTTCTCTGATCTGAATCGTATTCGTGTTGGTTGCTCTTAGCTAAAAAACATTCATAGAACGGATTGGTTTTTTTTTTTCGTATGATGGAGCTGATTTCAGGTCTACCTGATGACGTGGCCCGAGACTGTTTGATTCGGGTTTCGTACCAGCAGTTCTCCGCCGTTGCCTCCGTCTGCAAAGGGTGGAATACGGAGATTCAGATGCCGGAGTTTCGCCGTCGAAGGAGAACCACTGGCCACTCCGAGAAAATCTTCGTCACGGTTCAATCCCGAGTTGACTCGGATAAACGCGAAAGCGGCTTGCTCGTTAAGGCCATGACGAACCCGGTTTTCCGGCTGAGCGTATTCGAACCGGAAACGGGTATCTGGAGCGAGTTGCCGATGGCACCCGAATTCCATAACGGGTTACCCATGTTCTGTCAGATAGCGGGTGTCGGGTATGACCTGGTGATTATGGGCGGGTGGGACCCGGATTCGTGGAAAGCCTCCAATTCGGTTTTTATATATAATTTCTTGTCAGCTAAATGGCGCCGTGGGGCCGATATGCCTGGTGGGCCCCGCACGTTCTTCGCATGCGCGTCGGATTATGATCGTACGGTGTACGTGGCAGGTGGACACGATGAGGAGAAGAATGCGCTGAGGTCAGCGTTCGCGTATGACGTGGCAAGGGACGTGTGGGTCCCGCTGCCTGACATGGCGAGGGAGCGCGACGAGTGCAAGGCCGTGTTCCGCCGCGACGGAGGCGGCAGCGGCACCCTCCGCGTCGTCGGCGGGTACCGCACGGAGATGCAGGGGCGGTTCGAGCCGAGCGCGGAGGCCTTCGACGTTGATGCGTGGAAGTGGAGCCCCTTGGAGGAGGAGTTCTTGGATGGAGGCGCGTGTCCGAGGACGTGCGTGGACGGTGGGGATGAGGAGGGGAGAATGTACATGTGCAGGGGTGGTGACGTGGTGGAACTGAAGGGGAACACGTGGCAAACGGTGGCGAAGGTGCCGGGTGAGATAAGGAACGTTGCATGCGTTGGAGCGTGGGAAGGGGCACTGTTGTTGATTGGGTCGAGTGGGTTGGGTGAACCGCATATGGGCTTTTTGTTGGACCTGAAGAGTGGTGCTTGGGCTAAACTTGATAGCCCAGACAATTACACTGGCCACGTCCAGTCTGGTTGCCTTTTGGAAATTTAGTTTTTGTTTTCATATATAACTCTCTCTGTTTATGTAAGTAAATATGAAGCAACATTTTTTTTTCTTTAGTTGCTTTGCTTATATATAGTTATATATATACGAAGAGTGCTTGCTGCTTGCTGTGCAATACAAACTTGTGCATTTTTATTATTTTTTGGTTAGAATGAAAAACGGTCAAAGCATAAGAAGGAATATTGCATACCAAAAAGAAGGGAAAATGTAACAAATGAGTAATTTTTATTTTTTTTTATTTTTTTGCTTAAAATGAAAAATTAATCCTTCCGAATATTTCCATACCTGTTTCTAGGAGGAAAAAATAGAATCGAGCATAGCAACACTGAGTGAGGAAAAATATCCACTCGTCACTAGCAAGTTTGTGTGGATTGGAAGGTTTTGTGTTAATAGTCAAAAAGCTACATTCCTTGCCCACCATATTTGAAAGTTGTCAATGAGTGAAAGATTAAAGGCTGCACTATTTCGCTGCTTGCTCAAGTCAAGTGTTAGCAACAAAAATTTCCACCACAACTGGGTATATATTCCTAAACAGACGTAAAGTGACAAGGATAGAAAAGAAAAAGAAAAAGGATAAGAAGCAATCAAATGTTTTCTGACATCTTAATCCTTTTTTTTAGAACATAGCAATTGTTCATATAATTTAAATTAGAAGAAGTGGTGTTTGCTTACCAAAAAAAATAAAAAGTAGAAGAAGTGGTTTTAGGTAAAACTTTTACTAACTGAAAATTACAAAATTTAAGTCCCTTATAAGTAAGATTTGTTTAAGATTGTAATTTACTTCCACCGAGATGAATCATTGTTAATTACATAATTTAGAAAATCTGAATATTTGAGAATTTAAATTCTTTTAATAATACGATAATATATGAATAGATTGGATAATAACATAAAAATATTTGTTAGTACTAAATTAAAATTAAATTCTTTAATTATGCATAACATTTTTCTTTTTTGAAATGGACCCCCACATTATAAGAATGAAGAGATTAGGTAACAACTCTTTTCGAGCGACAATCAAGTCGTTAGCACAAATATGCTTATTGCAGCGACATTTATAAGTCGTTAGAATCTACGTAACACCGATACGACACGCGATACGTGATACGATACAATATTTTGATACGTCAATTTTAAAAAAATATGAATTTCGATACGTTGGGAGATGTTTTAATATTAAATAATATTTTTAAGTATATAGAGTATATTTCATTTAATATTCAATAATTTAACAAAAAATAAAACTAAATTAATAATACCCATCAACACGTTATAAAGGTGAAAGCTTTAATAAAAAAAATAAGAACTAGGATGAGAGAGATAATATCAGATAGAGAGATCAAATCATATTAGAGAGATCAGAGAGAAGGAGATACAACAAGAGCGTAATAAGAATTGACAACAATGATTCTGAGATGATCTCTTATCTACTTAAGAGAAAAAAAGACAAAAAAAATAAAATTCATATGATAAGGTGGAAGCTTTATTAACATATTTTAATTTTTAAAAAAAATAATTTTTATAAAAAAATAATTTTTTTTTAAAAATAAATTTTTTACAAAAATGCCATTTGACCGTATCGGAGCGTGTCGGAACTTGTCGGACACAGTCAAATTCGCGTGTTAAGATGTTCAACGTGTCGAGAATGTTAACCGCATATCGAACACCGTCGGAACGTGTCAGCGTGTCGGACACGACACTCCCTGATTTTTGGAGTGTCCGTGCTTCCTGGAATACACAATTTTTTATCTCAACAAGCAGCCTAGTGTTAGAGAAAAATGAACTTATCCCAGCGACAATCGAAGTTGCTGGAAATAGCATATATCTACGCAACTTTGCAATGTCAAAGTTGCTAGTACAAGTAATTGATATGCCAATGTTGCTGGAAATTACAAACCAAGTTAAAGTTTATCCCAGCGACAAAATGCATAGCTACGATAAATGTAATGTATACCAGTAAATTCAACACTCGTGAGAAAAAAGATACATATATATGCTAGCAACATAAGATGTTGGGAATTGTAGACAAAGATAAGGCTTGTTGATCGACCTTATTCATATAGAATTAAAACGAAAATAAAATTATTCCGAGAATTATTTCCTTACATATATTTCATAGCTTTGTCAATGACTTAATTCTCTTTGAATATACCTTCTCTGGTGAGCTTAAATAAATGTGGTCCCTTCGGTCTTTTTTTTTTTTTTTTTTTTAATTCTTCATATAACATTGCAATGGATAGGCAAAAATTAGGAAAATCCGTTGCGTATTAGGTACTAGGTTTTGAATCCTTGATGGTCAATTGGGATATCCTTGATTTTATTTTCTTCTGTGTCATTTATTGAAACATCTTTCACTGCATTTTGTCCTTTTCCTTCTTTTGATAAATGACCGTTAAACTGAGTACTAATACCATTCTTCAAGTCACTGCTATCATTTTCAACACTTTTACCATCTGCATGATTTGTGGTAATTATCTCCAATGGTTCAACTCCGTGTGAGCCTTTTGTTATCTTTTGCTCTGCAATTCTCTTTAATTCTCTACCTTTACCCCACAAGACAATATATAGCCCGGAGATAATCAATACTGATCCTATTATGCTGTAATTTATAACAAAAAAATATCACTTAATACCAAAATCACATGGCAAAATTTAGTAAAAGCAGTTAAATGTTTGTACCTGCCCAAATGGAGCATTTCATCTAATATCAGAGACCCTGCAATGGACACTAGAACAAGGAAGAGAGGGTTGAAAATGGAAGCATAAAGTGGGCCTTTTAATCGCACGCACCACATAATGAGAACCCAAGCTAGTCCAGAGGCCACAATACCCTAAACCCAAAAACATGTCAATTAGCTGAGATTTATACAAGAGAAAAAAGACTATTATTTAAAAAGACATAACTTGTGTCTTTTTAGATGATTTACACAAAATATGACCGGTCATACTTTGTGTAAATCTAAATTTTTTTTTTCTCTCCTCAGTCATATAGTGTAAAGTGAAAAAAACAATTTTTCAAAATTATACAGAGCATGACTGTGTAAGTCACTCAAAAGACAATGATACCGTATAAGCTACAGTGAGAAGTCTGATATTCCAGCCAAGCTTCCATTGATTCCAATCTCTTTCCATGCATAGAGCAAATATAATTGATTGAATGGAGGCCATCACTGACATCAAAGCCGCACTTGTATAATGCCAAGGAAACTTCTCACTCATCCTTGCCTACCATATACAAAATACTAGTAATGAGTAATGACATTAACTCTAGCACATATATAGAAAATCATAATGAAGGTACATCTATGTTTTATAATTGAGGCTGGGATATTAGAGTTTGTGATCACCTGAATTATCAACCATATTGAATATGAGATACAAGTGCCCAAAGCAAGAGCAGAACCCAAAATTTGAGTTGTAGAAACATTGTGTGGCTGTATATGTCGAATGAGGTTCACATGCGTTGACCAGAGATGAATCTCAGTGCTCTTATAGAAGGTGAGGATCATGGCTCCACCAATTCCCATTAGAGTGCCAAGCACTTTGGCCTTCCCTGTTGATGTTCTAACGTTTAAACTTTCCAATCTGAAAAAGGCATTAGTTGAAAAATAATAAAATTAATCAGATAACCATAGCAGGTAGCATATGATGAAACTGGAATCCTGATGTATGGCTAAGATTGAATTAGTTTCATGAATATGATATAAAGAATATGGGACATACCCAAAACAAACGGCTAAGATGAAGGTGGCACCAGGAATGAGGTTGTACATGGCCGTAGCATATGATGCAGTTGCCAAAGCCACCGCTTCCACAAACAAATTTTGTTGTAAGGATGCTCTGAGGATGCAATTACGTTATGTCAAATTTTCATGAGTATACATATCTGACCCTTTTTAGGGTATATTCAGAGATATATATGACTTTTAATGATTTTTTTTTATTTTCCTTTCAATTATAATATTCTATAATGGAACGCATTTAAGTTAGGGGTGTCAATATAGGTTATGACATGTGGGTCGACCTCCGACACGACACGAAAATTCGTGTTCGGGTTGACCCGTAAAAAAATTCGTGTCGTGTTCGTGTCAGGAAAATGACACGTAAAAAATTCATGTCGTGTTGAGGTATTTGTGTTCGTGTTGATCCATATTTTTTTTAATTTTTTAATTTTTATTATTTTTTATTATTTTGAACCTTTTTTATTTTTTTTGTCAATTATCGTTTTGACCCCTATTTCGCGTGTTATTCGTGTTGTATCGTGTCAACCCGTAAAAAATCTGTGTCGTGTCAGTGTTGAAGATTTTGACACGAATAAAAATTTGTGTCGTATTAGTGTTGATGTATTCGTGTCGTATCAAATTCGTGTCGTGTCAACCTGTTTTGACACCCCTAATTTATCAGAACGGCACATAAGTTTAGAGTAACACATAAAGCATAATAAAACTTGAGAAAGTAATTAGTTTCATTGTGATGATGGTAAAACTATATATTTTTTTAAATGTTCATAATTCTTAAAAATAAATCATAGATAGGAAAATTCATGTATGAGTTATAATAACAATTGTAAAAGCACACGACTCTAATTATAGTTTACTTATATTCATGGCCACAACCTTTAGGGTTGAGAAAAATTTAATTAAAAGAGTAGTTAAGAACACTTATGTAGATTAAAAATAATCAAATCCCAACAAAAACTCTCAAAAGAGCTTAAATGACTGAATATTTTTTTATATAATAATAATACTGAAGTTCGAACCTATACTCTCGCGTAAATTATTTAAATCTTTAGTATTAACTTACTCCTAATGATTTAAATGATGAGAAAAATATTTCTGTTTTCATTACAGAAAAAACTTTTCTGCCACACTTACACAAAATAAATGAGTTTCATTATAAAGAAAAAAGAGAGAAAATATCATTGGAACCCACTCACTTTTATGTGAGGGAGACATAGAAATTTTTTTTGCAGCAAAAGTAGAAATATTAAACCCCTTGATGATTGCAATTATTTTAACATAATATTAAATTTATGCTTCCCTCAATCCATTAGAAGAAATTAATCATCGGGATAAAGATTTATTATATCTATAAAATATGGATTCAACTTACCCAAAAAGTCCACAAAGAAATGATTGAATGACCACTTTCACTGTGATCTTTGGCTTGCTCTTCCTGTGTCATCATATATAAATCCATGATGTTAATGGTGTTTTGATAAATAAAACATGTTTCACTTTTGAGCATCAAGTATGTGGAAAAAGAATGCATAAATCGATCATTATACGAAGAGTGAGCGGAAAAAATACCTAAATCATTTAAAGTTTTTTATTTTATTCATTTACTTTTGCTAAAATATTACTCGTTTGCTTAAAAAATGAATACAAGTCATATGTTAACCCGAGAGGGGAAAAAAAAAATGAATAAACAAACATATTTGCAATATGCAGTACAATGGAAAACTAAATAACTTTTTCCCTTTAATCAGAAATCATTTTCAAGGGAAAAGTTTACCTTAAATAAAAAACAAATGGTAAAACACGAAATTATGATAAAAGATTGTGACCTTTCAATGAAGAAGGCAAGAGGAACCATGAAAGCCGATGCAAAGAGGAAGCGATAGGCCATAAGGACACTCAAGCTCATGCCATCATTGGCAACCAATTTGTACAAGATGCTAACCCCAGCATAAGAAAATTGAACCACCACCATCAGAATCGCAGGCTTGAGGCCTTCTATGACATTGCTAATGTATGACATGTTAATCACAATTAATTAGTTAGCTAGAGGGTTTTATATTTACTATCCAATTAAGCCCTTGTGTTAATCAATCTTTGTTTTTGTCCTTCTATGTTAGTGAATATGTAGAGAGGACTCTGGTGAGAGAGGATGCATGTGCAACAACACAATACAATGGGTGAATAGCTATTCTCCTCCTCCTCCTCTCTCTCCCTCTCCCTCCAAGTTTAGAGATTTGATTGATTTAAACCTCTTTATATTAATGCTGATGGAATAATACAGGTTTCAATTTGTTAGAGAATAAGATATAAAGTATTAAAAAGTCTATCACCTATCACCTCAAGAAGGTTTTGGGTTGGAGTGGTTCTTTATATGGTATCAGAGGTCATAAGTTCGATTCTCACGGCTCCCCATTTTCAAGTGAAATTAAAATAAAAAGCACAAAGAGGTAAACTAAAAATTGGGCCTGTGCAATTCCACGCTTCTAGCCCAAAGGGCTCTTGCATGAGGGGGCGTGTTGAGATATATAGTCCTACATTGATTGTGTGGGTAACTAATGTGGCCTTTATAAGGCCTTGAGCACTCCCACCATTTGAGCTAGCTTTTGGTGTATCCCAAGATTCTTTACATGGTATCAAAGCTTCACTGACCATGAGGTCACGAGTTCGATCCTCACCGCCCCCACTTTCAGGTGGAATTAAGAAAAACACAAAGCAGACCAAAAAATGGGCTTGTGCAACAAAAGGCAGACCAATAATGGGCTTGTGTCATATCTACGCTTCAAGCCCAAAGGACTCTTGCGTGAGGGGATGTGTTAGAAAATAAGATATACAGTATTTAAAAGACCGTCACCTATCATCTTAAAGTTAAAGTTTTGATTTGAAGTGGTTCTTATCACAATTCAGTAGTGTATTCAAGTAGGACACATATTTGTGTCTTCTTTTCAACATTTTTAAAATAACTTGTTTTGGTCGTTGGCCGCTGCAAGAAGACAAGCTCTCTTGAAATGACAAGGAGGCAGATTTTTTTTATTTTTATTTTTTTTGTAAAAAAGGTTATGATAATTATTTTTTGATAAATACATCACAGATATTAACATCTTAATTTGGACCATAAAATTTGTAATATATGGAGGATGATCAAATGAAGCCATGAATGACAAAGATACTAATTAGTAAGAGGATATAAATACATGTCCTTTGAAACCCAAAAATAAAAATAAAAATATTCATGTCCTTGTGGAGTTGACATTCAATACACTTGCTGCCCTGTAAAATCAAATGCTCTTGCAAGAATATGGAACTGTTTCACAAAAGTCCTGCTTTTATGAATAATCAAACTCCTTAAAGGACAACTAATTGGATAAAAAAATTACGATTGCGAAAACATCAACATTAATACCAAGCAAAGATCGAACAAGAATAAACTTTTCACTAGTGGCTTTTGATTGCATCCAAATATTAATCCTACTCAACAATTTCACTTTAATTATATTATGATCGTAATTAATTTGAAATTTGTTCTTCTACATTAGACTACCCATCAAAATTATCGACCTTGACAGTTTGCGGTTTGTCTATATTTGCATTTTCTTTTGGCTCTATCTGATTTAAAAAGTTATAATTGTAAAATACTATCAAACTAATGCAATAAATGTCATTCAGAATATTTTTGCGTTGTCAGGTAAGAATTTACTACGCCTTTGCTATTATATCATTTTCATAAATAAAAAACTTACTCCAATTTATCAAGATATGTCATCATCGAGCGGAAGAAAGAAAGAAATAATGGCTATTATTTTACAATAGACATTTAGAAAAAATAAAAAATAAAAGGATGAGCAAACAACTACTAGAGGCTTGTACCTTTAAATATAGCAGTTATGACTATAGTATCCAGAATTTCTTCAATCCAGTCAACCTCGTGTGTGGAAGGAAAAGCATAAACGCTATTCAACTGCCTTTACTTTTTTCATCAAAGATAAAATATATTACATTATAAGTATATATGTAGGGTTTTATAAGAGTTATATTGTAGGAAAAGTGATTGTGTAATGTTATAGAGATTCGTTTTGCGTGCCTTAATTTGTTTTTGTTTTTTTTTTTGCTTCAGAAAGTGTGCCCCACAAAATGTTGTGTATGTAGGAAATTTTTTTATGTCATGACATGATATATACAAACTCCATGTATGTATGACTTCTATACATATTAATATCAAAAAATTAAAAAAAATATTTTTATTTGATTAAATAAATTAATAATTACTATATTATAAACTTGAATATCTGAACTACTGCCTAGCCTTGAGACTAGATTCATGTTTCCACTACATTATGTTTCAATAAAATGATGTTTTCCAACAAATCCAGGCACCGCGTAGATGATCTTGTCACTATTTTTCAATAATTTATGCATAATTTGATAGTCAACTATACTGAGACTAACTGTTAATCATGATAAGGCCAAAATTTAACCCTTCATCAGAGTTAATTGAGGACAAATAATGCCAAAGGAAATACCTATTGATACTCTTATACTCTGACTGTATTATTAAACATGAGTAAAATTAGGCCCTAAATCGAGCACTTCACTTTCATTGAATAGGTATATTTTTGTTCAATTTATCATTACCGTGAAGTTTATTGACTCGCATTAGAAAAATCATAAACCATAAGTCAAACACGATATTGCTTTTGAGAAAAAGCATAAAGCATTTATTTCCTGATAAAATAAAATAGGAGTAAATAATCCTCTCATACTAAAATTTCATATGACTGAAATTTTTATATCTATCTCTTTCTTTATTAATGATAATTAGACCTCATCTATTTAATGTATGTGAAAAGAGAGATAGACACAAAAATTTCACAGATCATGTGAAATTTAACATAAAGAATCCATTCCCAAAAAGAAAATAAGAAAATAGAGGAGCTGGTAATCTTTCTCATAAATTGGCACAAGCACAAAACTCAGTACAAGTCATGAGAATATGAAATATGAATGAGTGAATACAATAAAAGAATGAGAGGTATTGCAAAGTGCCACGCAGTTGTTTCATTTATTTGCTTCTCATGCACTTGACAATAACATCTACAAATTTCTTATACATGTGTCGCTTCAAGTACATCCTCTGCACCTTCTTTCTTCCTTCCATCCCCATTTGCTTCCTTGCCAACTGGTTTTCAAGTAAAAACCGGAGATTATGTGCAAGGACAAGATTCCCTGAACGTCCAATAGGATGAAGAAGACCTGTAACATTGTGCTCAACAATCTCTTGAGTTCCCCCAGCATTCGTTCCAAGAACCTACTCCATAAGATTAAATGAAATACAACTATCATTATTCATTTGTACTACATATGAAGACATTAAATCATAGAGATTATCAACTACACTGAATAAGTATTAGAAAGAAGCAAAGCAAAGATAATTAACCTCACACTAAATTCATCCCCAATTGCAGCTTCTTTAAAATTAGAACCAAGTTGCTACTAGAAGGAAATGTCTTTTACTTTTAGGCTAGTGTTAAATGCGTATGCTTCCGTGACAATTATGGTTTATGATGAGTTTAATGAGAAATTATAGTTTTGGGTTATGACATGTCATAAAACTTAAGGTTACAAAACGGAGGGTTAGTTGTACAACAGGACCTGCATGTAATGTCCAAGGAACCTGAACTCTGATAGTTAAGAAATCAAGTATTGTGACACAAGAATAGCCAAACCCGACAGAGGAGGAATCTAAGGACGTTTTACATTTCTGAATTCCATAAGTAATTATATTCTGAAGGATGAAGGATGAAACTAACAAAATATGTCATTACATGAGATAAAGAGGGGAAAGCAAGTTGGCACACATACCGGAAGACCAAACGCCATTGCTTCTATAGTCACCCGTCCAAATGTTTCTCCCAATCCCTGTTCACCATTTTACTAATTAGCCACAGCTTCGCACATTAGAGAATATTTCTATAATTAATTTAATTACTCTAAACTTAGGTAACAGCTAGTATGTATAGTTTCAAAAATTCTGTCAAGTCGAAAAAAAATGCAATACTTTTTCCTATGTTTTAATGGAAAACACAGCCAAAAACATGATTCAATGGAACAATTTTATACTTACGTCCATATGATATGTACGTATATGCATTTTACCTACTACTTTATAAATAATTTAAACATGACCTACCTGAGAGTTTATAACATAAACATCTGCAGCAGAGTAAAGTGAGGCAACCCGTGTTGTGGCTGGAGTCCACAAAAATGATTTTGAAGTGTTTGGATGCTGTGCTAAGAAACTTAGAAGGCCTTTAACATAATCCACCTTGTTACTCTTAGATCCAACAGAACCAATGAGAACTTTGAGAGATTGTTGCATTGTTCCTTTGTTGTTGGGCAACACTTCTTTTCTACTGTGAATGCCAAAGTTTACATATTAAATGCAATGAATAAAAAATATATATTTACACAATCATAAGTGGTAATACTTTATATTCAGATTCATGTAACCTGCTTAAAGAATTGCTTGAGATATCATTTAAATCTACTTTGCTATCCTTCAACAACGGCAACAATTTTCTAATACGATGTCTTCTAGCCAGGGTAGATAGGCCTTCCCTTAAATTTGATGATTTTTTCATTTTCTTATCATCTAGCAATTGTCCATGTTCTACTACTGAGCTTGCCGATTCAAGAAGCAAAAGCTGGCCCTTCCCAGGGTTTATGCTACTCAGAGATATCACAAGCATATCGTTATCAGTTAAGCCCATTTCTTTTCGGACTGCTTCTCGCAACATCTGCCTTTTTTCAACCATTTTCTCAGGACTAAAGGATGGAGTGTTAAGGGTAGAAGAAATGCCAGCTACAAATGCCAGCTCATCATTAACAGACAATGGAACAATTTCAGGCTGGGTTCTCAATTTTACGCTTTCTTCTTCACACCATTTTTGCCATTGTTTAGATTGTGATTCAGAAAGAAAAACCAACATCTTTACTCTGTGCAAGACATCCTTTGAACGATTAAAGTACTCTTTCCGGTTTTCCATAATCCACCAAGCAACTTGGCTCCCACCAGCAGGAAAATGTTCAATATATTGTTCTGCAAACATATAGGACAATGATTTTCCATTAAGGCATGTAGAAGAGCGGAATTACAAACTCATAGTGACAAATTATAAACAACCACAATATACACCAGGGTTTTCAATTTGATTATGGTATAAGGTTCCAAGATTAAGTAACGTCCATAACTCCATGTATAATCAAACTCTCTTGTTCTATCAATTTGTAATGGTACAAATAATTAAAAGGTTAAGAGTTTATGTCTATATACAGGAAGCTAGGCATGGTAAGAATCCTCTGTAAATGCCATTTAATGAGACACTCGAGTTAAATAATATTATGACATGTTTTGAATTAAAAGTCCTATAGCAATTTTTTAGAGCTAGTATGAGAAAGTGGGATTAAGCGTTTGACATTGTTGCAATGTGTATCCAGAAACCAAGGTCCTCCAAACTCCAAAGCATATTCAATTTGTTTCAATCTTTCCTTTGCAGTAGCAAATACCTAAAATTTTCAATGAGCAACAACTTACAAGCATATCCTATTGATCAAGAGCTAGAAATTAATTTCAATGCTGCATATTTAATTGGCACAAGGTTGAAAAAAATATGTCTATAGTCTAAATTACAAAAGTAGAGAAAGAAAAATAGATGTCAGTTATGTGTATTTCTTCATTGAGTTTAAAAACTTCAACAACTTTCTGATACTAAAAACTACAATAATACAGTCCGTTCTTACCAATCCATGATGCACAGACAGCTGATCCAGCAATGACAAGATCAGCCTTCATTGCAGTTTTGAAGCTGAGATCTGCTTTGTCCTCGAGTACTTTGATTCGTCTTCTAGCCAGCTCTGACATCAATCCACCCTTCTTGCTAAGCACAACAGCTGAAACAGTGGCTCCACAGCTCAAAAGCTCTGTTGCTAACTCCATCATTGAAAGTGGAGCTCCAGTCATAGAAAGCTCATGGAATATCAAAATAAATCTTCTGGACCAAACAAGACGTGCAAAGTCCCCCTTCCTGTTACATGTCCCAGAACGCTTCTGAGGGCTCCATTCCAGAATCCTATCCTCTGTTGAGCCAAATGGACCAACAAGCATGCCATATGTACTATTGGTCTTAGGAATTTCTGGCTCCTGTTCCTCTACATCACCATTCTTAATTTCCAGTGTTGGTTTATGCTTACCCCGTGCTTTACCTGATCTTCTGCTCCTTTTCTTTGAACTTGTTTTACGATGAGATGGAACATCATTTTCTTTCTTGGCCAAAGCTACATTAATTGTTTTACCGATCCCTTCTGTATTTCTAATTGTCTCATTACTAACAGCTAAGGAATTATCACTGGCAAGCAAATCACGGCGTTGACTCTGTTCAGCATCTGAGTTGGTATTTCTTGGCCTGCTTCCAAAGCCAGAAAATTCCTCCTTCTTATCACTATGTGCCCACCTGGACTGAACAAAAAATCCAAGATAAGCCCAGAGGGTAATTAGAAGCAACCACAACACTAAGCGATTGCTCCGAAACCACAGTGCACCACCACCACCACCTACGCTACTCCTTCCTTCTTTTCTTGGTGTTCTGCTAGAATTCAGTCTTCTGAATGAAGGGGAACTTCTTGGGGTTGTTTTTCCAGATAATGTTGATTTCAAGCTGCCACCTGCCCTTAATGAAGACTGTTTAGCTAAATTTGCCTGAAATTCCCCTCTATTATTGCTTTCCTCCATTAGTTTCCTGAACTATCCTATCACCAAAGAAGCATGACCCTATCCCCTTTTAGGGATAATCCCTTTAAATTCAGCAAAAATCCTCCAAAAAATGCTTCAAGCTCGAACAGTTATCTGAATTCAGCACAAGAAGTGAGCAAGACAGACAAGAAAGATTTCATTTCTCCATCAGAACCCAGCAAAAACAAGAATAAAAAAAGTTTTGCAAGTTCATTCATGCAGCTGGGTATTCTCCTAAACATTCAACAGTTAGTTTCTTGTTACACCCTTCCCCAGATTTGTAAAGAAGTTTAATATTTCAAGATTGCTTCTTCTCTCTCAATCAAGAAACATTGCAAGAAAAAGGAAAAAAAAAAAAAGAATCAAATTTTAAATGTTAACAAACAAATGTAAAAGGTAAATCTACTTAACCAAGAGCCCATTATGCAAAAAAAGTCATTCCCATTAATTATACACAATGAGGAACTATAGAATAGAAAAGGCATTACATTGATACTTTATAACCTGAAGATCAGTGCTTCTTTAAGGTTGAAGAACGATTCTTAAAGTTGAACCTTCATCACTGAGCTGAGACTATGGGCACTTGTGATTGCTTTGAGCTTTACGTTGAAGCAACAGACTTCAACAGAGAATGAGAGTTACCGCTGTCAAGAGAGAGAGAGAGAGAGAGAAATAGAGAGGAAGAAACAAGACTTTGAGTCTGAGAGAAATTAATAGCACGTGCGATGTATACGTGTGATCTTACTCAATATCACTCAGACTACACTACACCGTCGGTGGGTCTCACCCGAATATTCTGGCCGTCTGATCAATCCAAGGGCCACCGTTATCGTTTGACCTTGTTCCCACCTCTTTCTCTCTCTCTCCTCTTTTGGATAATCTTATCAAAGTGACTTTTTTTTGGGTGTGTTTGGTTGAGGAGAAATTTTTTAAATACTGGGGAAATGTAATTACTAGGGAAATGGTTGGAAAGTGAGTTTGATAGGAAAGTTAAAAAAAAAGTTGTTTGGTTGGACAAAATTTTACCAGGAAAATTGAGTAAAATTCTTGAATGTGTGTTTGGTTGAAGATAAAATATTGATAGGTAAATTTAGTAAAATTACAAAATAACCCTTATTTGAAATAACCCTTTATTCAACAAGCTTATTGACCCAACGACAATATTCACATGATCTTTCTGAGTTTATGTTTGGCATCTCTATCTCTCTCCCACTTTGTAATAACATGTATATATCCTAAATTTTAAAACTAATTATTGTATATAGCAGTGGTCTTTAAAAATAAAGTGTCTCACTTTAATGACTGGATTTCAATAGTAGTGTTCGATATCCATTGCATTGTAATGTGTTGAAGTGCAAATAAGTAGAGAAATTTGTGGACAACATAAAATCATCTCTCTTACTATCAAGTTATTACATAATTGCAGTGATACCACTGCAAGGAGAAAAACCTCCAACAAAAGGAATAAAAGAATATATATTATATTGAACAACTCTTTTTGTATGAATACATAGAAAAAACCTCTCAAATTAGCTTACAAAAATAAACTAATTTGTGATCAAATGTTAGACAGTGAAATTCAACCAGATAAGGAAGAATTTGATGTTTCCTATGTTTCATTTTTAGAATTTTCTTCTGTCTTCTGTTCCTCAGATTCTGTCTGTGGCTCAGGCTCAAGCTCTGGCTTTGATGGTTCTTCATCATCAGCTGGTTCAGGAGGTGGAGTAGCATTCTTCTTGTTTGCTGCAGCCTGGAGTACATGATTGTAGTTTCCCTTCTCCATGAAAAGCTGTGCAAAATGGTGCCTGCAGTAAAGAACACCATCCAGTGCAGCATAGGAAGAATGTGTGAGAGGGCAACCTGCATGAGCACACCTAAAGCAAGTCTTGTGGTAGCATTCCCCTTCCAGTGTCAACTAATTAACCAAAAAAATAAAAAATTTGAATAATTAGTTCAGTTCAATCAAAGTTCTAAACCAAGTGATATGTAATCAGTTTACAATACCACTCGTCATTAAATAAAAGGTGAAATATCAACAAGCATAAGTACCTTCGCAATTACAGGACGTGCCATTGCAGTCCCAAGCAAATACTTCCTCTCATAAACTGCACCAGCACGCAGGCAAGGGAATATATATTTTCTAACAAATTCCTCCTTCAAGTCCTTTACCACTAATTGAGAGGCCCCACTGGCTTTAGCTTTCGCTTCTAAACCTTCCAATTCTTTTGTTCCCTGTGAAATTTAACTAACTTACTAGACTCGCAGCATATAAACAATGAATTGGGTAAAGCAAATTCCCCCAGTCAGAAGTTTACAAGTCTAAAACACCTTTTCCAATAACACAGGTTACACAACGACAATCTTGACAACAGAAAATGAATTCTAACAGTCATAACATACTTGGCCAACATCAGCAGTGAAGCAAACGACATCACAATTGTAATTCTCTCTGCAACGCCAGAACCATTCAATAAGAGATTATAATAAAAGCACAGTTATATAACAGCAGGTAAATTGACAAAGATATCTATTGTCCAATCTCCTAGATCACATCCTAAATTTGTTAAAAAGTAAGCATCATCATTTTTTGCTGGCATGCTTTTCTTCAAAGCTCCAACTTCTTACGTTTGAAACTGATCAGATCATCCATACAAGTATCAAAATGGTTTCTGATTTCTATTTACACATTCTATTAAAAAATTAAACATTCTTTACTAAAGAGAAACCAGTAATTACCAAAAGAAAACTTATCTCTTACTCCTTCAGTATTTGTCATTCTGAGTATATAAAGGAGAGGAAAAATCCAATATTGCGAGCTTGTGATGGACATATACTACAAAACTGAAAAAGGGTTAGCAACATCTAGACCTCAGCCATGGGACAATGACTGATGTGTCTAAGCCACAATTCCATATTCCTGTAAAAGACAGGGAAAACTAATAAGCAGACATGTCATTAATACACCAATAGCAGATATAGCAACCTAATGCTTGAAGTAATAATATAAAAACATACAACTATATTTAAAAGTAGTTATGATACCAGTTTTATCTTAATTTTTACCCAAATTTCAAATTTAATTATTTAGTTTATGTTGACACTTATTTCAGTGGCTAAATCAAATATAAAGTGTTTAATGTTATTGACTGAATGAGTAGTCAACCTAATAAATGGTAAGCAGTTTGTTTATTGTGATTAACATGACTTTTAAGCCCAATTGTCTTCTACAGTCAATCCCATATGATAAGAATAGATATATTAAGTTACAACCTTAAAAATTCAGCCTCGTGCATCTAATCAGGTTGCAATGGAGTCAAAACAAAAGGTGGTGTGTCCTTGAACTCCTGCATGAAGGAATCCACATGCTTGGAAATACCTTCACACTGCTTAAGGAACATAATAATATTGTCAATTTGCTCATGGAAACTCAAAGAACCAGGATTGGCACACAATTCCTCAATCTGAGCCATGCATAAATTCTAACTGTCAGAAGTGATATTTTAGGTCAATTTAGTAATATTAACAATAACACAGGGAAAATATTGACATAATTCATAATATGGAAATGGCCATGAAACTAACATTGCGAAAAGATATCAACTTATTTGACAAGCAGATTTTACATAGGAAAAAAATTAAGCAAGAACTGGCACTAGAAAAATTTCATACTTACCACATACTTACCCACCACGGTCAACCATAAATCAGAAAAACAAAGCAGCAATTTAATTTGTACTGTTCTTCTTCTCCCAGGAAATGCTCTCTTCATCCATTATCAACAACTTCAATAAGTCTCCTTTCACAATGAGATCCGGTATAACAGAGCAGAAAAATAATTGGTTAAGATATCAAAAATTAACTTTAAAAATGGATATATCAGGACCTATTTTTTTTGGACGATTAAAAAGCAATTTTATTAATTAATCGTAGATGTACTTATGTGATGTAGCAATTTTATTAAAAATAACTGGTTAATTTGTACTGCCAACAAACGCCCCCTCATGGAAATGGATATATAAGGAATTAAAAAAAATTTGTTTACCACAAAAAAAAAATTTCCTATCAGATGTCAGTAGGCTTCAGCAAAGATAAACACAGAGCATGGGACCAAGGGGTGTGTATATACTAACCGTTCAAGTTTAACCAGGCGTCGGCAAACAAAGAGGACCTTATCTCTCCACGTTGGATGCACCGGACCCTACTTCACCGGAGATACCAACCAGTAACTTGTAGATCTACTTCACCGGACCATTACCTGACCTCCCATCTTTGCGCATGTGGCTTTCTTCGCTCTTTCTTCTTCGGTCGGTGTCGGTCTCCAGTTTTTGGGTTTCTTCAGCTTTCACATGTGATGGGTGCTGGATGAGTGATGTATCATTTTGGGCAATAGTTGGTCACGTGTGAGGGGCAAATTCGTCACAAAAATATACCACTTTTTCATTTCTCCGGATTTCAGCCAGAATACGACCCTCCAAGAAGCAATCCGGAACAGTGCTTTGGAGGAGAAATCACATGCAAATGGCGAATGATGGGGAACACCGAAACATGGATATATTTCATGAATCCAGCGAACCAAACGTGGAGTTCTGAGAATCCACGAATCACTTCCCCAGGAAACTTGACCAAAATCCCGAAACAAACACCATTGTTAAACCAAAAAGTATCATTTTTTGTCCGAAGCATGCTTGATTGAATCAGTTAATTAACAATTTCATGTGATCAGGCAACAACTTTTCTTTTTTCTTTTGGTAGTAAACAACATCTTTTTTTATTCAAATGCTTTATCCGCTTAAAAATAATTATCTTTTTTAAGATATTAATTTTTTTTTCAATTATTTGTCTCTATATTTTTATTATTGTTATTGAATAAAATAAAATAAAATAAAAATAAGAGTAATATAAACAAATGAAGTTATATATTATCGAAATTAATAATTTTTATATAAAATCTTAAACGGTAATTGTTTTAAAAATAAATTCTTATAGCTCAGGAACTATTTGAATGGACTTTTTTAAAAATATTTTTTTTTTCATCCACCAAAAAAACAAAAGAATGGACTTTTTTTCTTCATTTCTTTAACTAAAAAATAGAACATTTCGTTTTTAAAAAATAAAAGTTTGAAAAAGTTATAATAATACTTTCTTTTGAAAGTCAAGATTTTTCACTAAAAAAAAATTTGATTTATTATTTCTCCATAAATAAAAGAGAAATTAATCTTTTTTTTCCCTTAGAACCTCTTACAACCCAATCTTAACTTGGTACCGTGTTCATACCATTGTATTAAATGATCTCGGCCATTTGCTTTTTGTTCATATAATGCATACAGCTCTGGTTGCTGGTTGATCTGGTTCCATGACTCTATGAATTAGTAATTTTTTAACCCTTTGACCTTGTTCTTAACCCAATATGGAGACTGGGTCGGGGCATTCCCCGCCCACCAAGTGAAATCGGTATTTTCTTGGTCATGACCAGTTAAGTTAAAGTTTCATTAAAGAGCATTTTCACGTGACAAAACCTCCTTAGGGAATATAAGGTTTTCATGGGATTGATCTTGAACCGCCATCCACGCACGAATACCTCCGTTTAAGAGAATATTTTTTTTGAGGTTTCCTCGGACCAGACGAAGATTCGCCCTTAAGTGCAAAGGCATAAAGGAGCTTGACTGGAAGACCCATATAACATTGCTCAGTCAAATTTTCGCCCATTACGAAAAACTCCCCATTGTTGCCTCCTACAGGAGTCTGGACCATGTCTTTTCGCCAATGTAACGATTATAATTTATTAGAATTTAATAATTACAACTCAATAAATTATAGCTGTTAGATTGACAAAAATCATTGGGTTGTAAGTGAATTTTTTTTATAAATATAACCTACTCTAAATAAAATTATTCCCATCAACATTTTTTAGATTGAAAAAAAAGATATTTTAAAAACTTTTAATTTATTTCTTGTTATATAAATTTTACAAAAATACACTTCATTAATTTATAAAATCCCCAAAACAAATTTTTATGATACAAAAAACAACATAATTTGAGATCAATAAAAATAATTTTATCATGATGATATAGAAACAATAAACTCAAATAAATATTATATTTAAAAATATTTTTTAGATAGTAATTCAATCACAAATATTTTTATCATATAAAATTGCTTTTCAATTCAGATCATGATTCAAGCACAAATGAAACAATTAATAGTATCCGTATGAAAAATTGCAAATTCTCTTAGAAGGCAATCTCTCACTTTTTTATTGTTGAAAAAAAATGAAAAATACTACTCTCCTTTCACATAAGATAAATTATCTCATATTCTCTCACTTCAATTTTCGCACCCCACCTTTTTTTTTTTCCTTGTAATGGTAAAACCCACTCATTTTCTCTATCTATCTTATATGAAAAGAGATTAATAAAACCCAAGAAAAATACAATACAATTTACAACCTCCTTATTTTATTTAGGATGTCAAAACTCCTAAAACTACTGCATGAAAAGAAATTCAGTCCATTTTTTTTTTTTGGCATCGTTCGACTTGGAGTTTCAGTTTTGACTAATCGTGTAAGATTAGGAAAGAATTATTTTGATTATACGAACCATCAAGCCAATTTCCAAGAGTAAGACCATACCATAATCTAATCAATCAGATATATAATAACAAAATAAAAAACCAATCTTGTCCTTGATAACAATACTACTAACTTCCCTTTGATAACCAGAGAGCAATCTCTCAAGTCTCAATTAGTTGAAACAAAAAATTTAAAACAAAACCACTCAGTCACAAAAGGAAATTTGAAATAATTTATCCCCAAGTCCATAACAGATGAATCAGAAAGTCATTTACATGAGAAACTTTTTCAACTCCACGAGCAATCAGTTGCTGCACAAACAATTATCGTTTTCCCCCATATCCATATTCCATAGTTGTAGATTAGAGCCTGTCTATGTTTCAACAAGCTTCACTAAGGCAACACGCAAGAAAAACCTGCAAAGAATCCAACAACTCATAACTTAATCAGCAGCATTATAAGGATACCAGCGGCAAATTCATTTTTTACTTATGATTATCCTTACCGCACAACTACACAAGCAACTACCACCTGTCAAGCTGCAATAACTTCTTTAAATGGAGAACAGCATGAACAGGCGTTATATAACTGCAAGGAAGAACATGGAGTGGAGGGAAAAAAGGAAGAGGTGCATCAACATATAGAGCCCAAGGAAACCCCAAAGCAATCCCACAAGTGCATTTCAGCAAACATGAGCGAACCGCGAATAATAACTTAAAAACATTCTCAACCAGAATACAAGTTCTGGAATTACCTAAAAAATCTTGAAACCTATTGCAGCCCAAAGTACTCCAGAACAAAAACTGGAGAACAAAGGGCCCGTAGGAAAGGCCTGCAACACAAGAATTACCAAAACTTAGAAAATTGTAACACTGCTAAAACAATAAAGCAATAATAGGTAAATAACAAACCTTATCTTCTTATTCAAACAAGTTGCATCCTGTGTAATACTTCACTGCCCAAAATTCATCTCTGAGTATCTGCATAGTGCATAACCAACAACCTGAGATCATATCTAACTAAAAAATCATGCCAATAGTATCAACAGGTGCATTCCCATCCTCCCCATAAACCACCCTAGGATCCAGAGAAAAATAACCAGAAAATGAAGCAGCAGATCCATGATTAAGCACTCAAACAAAATAATCATTAAAATGAAAATGTTTATGCAATTCAACTTGCCTGCGGGGCTTATTCTGCCGCTGTCCAAACTCATCACTTACAGGCTCTACAGACGGATCAATTCCAAATAATAAGTTAATAACATTAGCAACCAATAGCAATTGGTAAATAATATCAACGGAAAAGGGATATCAATGTCTTACCAGGTCTCTCTGGTGGCTTCCATTCATTATTAGCTTTGCTAACATTATTTTCCTTGCTGCAAAGATTCAACAATGAAAACCAAAATCATGAAACCAACAATATGCCACAGAAACATTAAAGCCAAAATGGAGGCAAAAAAAAAAAAATGACAAAAGCTATTCCATTAAAAGTCCCCCTCCCCTAACAGGCATTTAAAATAAAATACAATACAAGTAGCACTGTTAATCCAGGTTTCATAAGCTAAACATGGAGAACCTATGTAAGAACCATTTTGAACATGTTGGATATGAATCCATTAATAAAGATACTATAAAAATGCATTAAAACCAAGCCATGCAATATAGAGAAGTAAAATAAGGTAAAACTATATGAAATATTGAAATCATATCAAAGCTATGAAAGTACCAACCTTGAAGTAGCCGTCGCAGATGCTTGTCCTGATTGTCGAGTATGATAAGCACCGTCAACAGTGAAGTAGGGTGGACAGTATGAAGCCCCTAAAGCTCCTGCAGCACCAGCCAAAACCGGTAGCCTAAACAAGAGAAGGAAGTAGTTAAAAAGTATTCCAATAAAAAGAAAACTATGAAGAATAAAAGAGAAATTTAAAATATTTGTGTGTGTTGTCTGGTGGGGTGGTGTTTTTTTTTTTTTTTGGAAAAGAACCGGGGGGGGGGGGGGGGGGGGATACATTTTTTGTGTAAACCTTCCCAAGACGTTTGTTATCATTATTTTATTGTCATATTGATATAGAGTTATTCTTGAAGAAGATTAAAAGTGGGGACCACACACAGAGGGAGAAGGAGATTTCAACCATGTCAGAGGCACTAAGACTTGTGAATCGGCCAGTAATTAGCTCTTCAAATATTATTCAACATTTGATAAAATTCATAAGTAAATATCCTTACCATGTCATTTCAGAATTTCCAGTACCATGTTGAGGCTGAGCAACATATCCAGGGAATGCCATGCCAACGGCAGGAACTCCTATACCTCCAGGGTGCTGCCCTCCAAATTGCATAACTGTGTCCCATCAGAGCCCAATGAAAATTAGAAAAATATATTACAAAGTGTAAAAGAAAACTTAATCTGTTCTGCAAGGATCACAAATACAAACACAAAAGAAAATCAAATGCTTATAAATAAATCAGGACACCCTCAGTTCACAGGATCTATCTGCAACATAGTAAACAATATAATTGCTTGATTTTTCAGAAACCAGGGATGTTACAACTTTTACTTGATGCATGAGAAAATTGTATTCCAACAACCGAAGTGAAAAGTTGCAATAAATAGATTGGATTAAAAGTTTTCTCTAAGACAGCAATATTGACACTTAAGAAGAAAACACCTAAATAAAACTAACCTGGCAAGAAGGCTGGGAAGTTCTGATCTCCATGACTACCACCCATATTTCCAGCAGTCCCCATAGCTCCACCGTAAACAAAAGAGCCCCTTCCACTACCCTGGGAACTTCCCCTTCCCTTCCCAACCAATGCACCCTTGGATTTGCCTGATTCTGAAGCTGCATCAATTTCTCCAGAATCCAATGAACTAATTGCCGCAGATGTTTTCTGAGGAGATGAAGCTTGAGACCCATTACCAGGTCGATGACCCAACTGTGGCCCAGGAGTTTGCATATAAGTTGAAGTTCGCCCTGAAGCGGAAGTTCTCTGAACAGCCTGGAGTTGTGTTTGAGCAATTTTATTTCCTTGATTATGTGAAGCAGCAGGCTGATAATTCATCTGTACTGGGATTGCTCCTCCACCCCTCCCAGAAGCCCTTGGATGAATAGATTGAGAAGAATTAACTCCAGAAGATCCAGGTGGTGGCATATGCAAATAGTTCAGAGGTTTTCCACCAGATGGAGTGACGGACTCATCAATATACAGCTTGTCCATGCCTACAGAATCAACAACATTCTTTCCCCGATGCAATGTATTGTTTTGTTGAGCTAAAAAACCCTTATCCACAACACCAGTGCGGATGTTCCTGTTTGTGCCGCCAGTTTGGACATCCCTTTTTGGTGTCAGATTCATCTCCTTGTTGGAGGAGCCCGAAGGGTAAAAAGGGGGAGATGCAGAATTCAAATTTGATGCAAACACTTGTTTGTTAGCAGGCAAAGGATCAGACTCTGAATTAGAGTTGGGTATCAAAGTTCTCCTCGAACTAACATGTGAAGTTTTCTCGAGAGGCTTCCCAGATCTTGGAAAAGAAAACAAAAATAATTGTCGGAAAGCCTTTGACATACATAGGAAGCATGTACACAACTAATCTTATACAATACAAAATCTGTACTCACTGCTTATTTTGCATCTGGGATGTTGCATCACTGCTTTTATTAGTAGGCTCATACCTTCGGGGCCCTCTCCCTCGCACAACACCCTTTGGTACCTGGGTTTGATTGCCTCTGTTATCATATCCTTTTCTGTTACCTCGAACATATCCTCCACGATCAATGCCTCGAGTTTTACCACGACCTCGATAATTACCATTAGAAGTTCTCCTTCCCTGAATATTATACATAATGCATTATAAAGGTTCCATTTCAGGAGGGGAAAAAAAAGTTCTAGTACTACATTTTACACAATCATCACCTCTTTGTAGTGCCTATCCTGCAAAGTAATTTCCTCAAACTTATCATGCCCCCATTTTCTGTCATCCTTGGACTCCCACAGTCTCCTTCCACCACGCATCCTCCTAAAAAGCACAAAAGCAAGAAGAAAAAAATAAAGTAATTTATGACTAAGTCTTAAGAGCAACCTAGTCACACTATTTATATAAATGTTATGCGCAGATTTCAGTGGAGATTTAGATACCTATGGCGTGCACCAGCATTGTCCCTGAAACGGTCATCGTGCATGTAAAATGCTCCAGCAGTGGGAACCGCAAATGGTTCACTCTCTTTCTTCTCTTCAACATCCCTGTTCCCTGATTCTTCCAAAGGGGTTTTAACATCAGCATCAGAATCCTTTACCATAACCACTGCGCCATTTACACCTCCTTCATCCGCACCCCTCTCCTCACAAACCTCCTCTCCTCCTACTAATTCTTCTTCATATTCTTCTTCCTCTTGGTCAACTCCATCTTCTTCTTCTTCCAATTCTTCTTCGTCATCATAATCGGCCACTCCACCCTCGCCGTCCGATTCATCGGAAAGAATGAGGCGGCGATCTGCACTCTTATCCCTCCCATCACCACCACCACCACCACCACATTCACCTTCATCTTCACCTTCCTCATCATCACTTGCCTCACGCCTCCTCCGCATTGTTAGCGATCTCTTAGCCTCTTCGGGATCACTCTCATACTCAAGGTCTTCTTCACCCGCGGTAGCCATCAATAGCCCCCACCCTAAAAAAACCTACACTTTCCCAGGAACCAAACACCAATTGAACGAAAAGCAACTCAATCAAAAGGGAATGGGACAAAAAAAAAATCAATTTTTTTTCCCGGAAAGTAGAAACCAATTAAAGAAAATCTGAATCAATTCCAAGTATCAAAACACGCATAAAAGAAAAACCCAAACTTTGTGGGGTCCCCAAATAACCACTATCGAAACCAAGAAACCTAAACTCGATAAGCTAAAATCCCAGTCAATTGGAAACCTAAAAAAACAAAAAACGGTAAAGTTATGAAGGAGAAAAACGCCGAATTGAAACGCGTGATAAGAGAATGGAAGAAAAATGAAGGGGGAAATAGGGTTAATTATTGGGAGTGGAAGGCCAGGGTTGTTGCGAAACCCTAGATAATTTTAGGAGATATTTAAGATTTAGAGCGTTGTTCTGTTGTGTTGTGTCGTCAGCAATTGAAACTGAAAGACGAAGAAACAAGAAGAGTAAAAAGGGGTTATTGGAGGAAAAATCTGATACCTGGGGGTATTTCAGTAAATTCAAAGTCGGTTCGGGATTTGCGAGTCGGTGATTGGTTAGCTTCTGACTTATGACACGTGAGATGCCTATCTGACTTCTGAGTCTGAGCATACTTATCATATCTGACCATCAAAAAGAGATGCCTCACTCATACTATATTAAAATAATAATACTGTAAATGATTTTTTCCGGTAAACAATTTTAAATCATAACACATTAAATCAATACAAATTTTAAAATTTGGGAAAATCCCATAAAAATAAAACAAATTATTATTTTTCATGTTATAGAATATAATTTTATCTTTTATACATATAATTTTCATAAAAATAAAAATGTGTATAATTTATATATTTTTTTTCTTTTTACATAACCTTATATAGGCACATATATTTTTATATATATATAAAAAATAAAATTATCTTATATAATATAAAAATGTAAATCCTTAAAGTGAATTGAGAAAAAATTAAATAAAATTATCTTATGCGACATAAAAACGTAAATCCTTAGTGCTGTTTGGTTGGAGGTTTCTTAAAAATTTTCCATTCAAATCAAGCTGACAATTGTTGATTTCCTTATTTGGTACAGAGTTTCTTAGAATTTCCTCATCTATTCATATTGCATTTGGCCTTTGAAATGGAGCAATTATCACTATTTAAAAAGTTTTCTTCGACGTGGTTTTCCTTAGTTAGATGGGTAAATGACAAAAGGTGAAAGTTAACCCAGATCAAAATACCCTCATGTTACCAAATTTTCCCGGGAAATTTTTTTCCAACCAAACAATTTTTTTTATATTTTCCTACCAAACTCAGTTTCCAATCATTTTTTTAGTAATTACATTTTTCTAATATTCAAAAAATTTATCCATAAAGTTATCTTATACAGAGACAAAATATGTTGCAGCTTATCTAAGTTAAGCCGGCTGTATGTGAATGGAGAAAAAGTTGCATGCAATGTTATAAATTAAAGCAAGATTGTTAAATCGCATTAGAATTGCTTGGCCTATTTTTTTCTAATTATATAATACAAATCGTATAGAATTATAAGGTTCATAAATAAAATAAAAATAATTTAAAAATATATAATATTATATAAATTTAAATTCAAAAAAATTCAATCAACAAATTAAATCAAATATTTATTTTCTTTCTTTTATTAATAACAATTTTTCAGATTTATTTTTGGATTTAAATAAAATATTAAATTTTTATTTTCTGTTTCTTATTAATAATAACTATTTAGATTTTTTTTTAAAATTTAAATCACAAATCATATATATATTTACTTTTTCTAATTAATAGATGTTTTTTATAAAAAGAAATTGTAAATTTTAATTTGATTTTCATATAATAAATTTTGATACGATATATAATCCAATATGATCCGATATTATATCGTATAACATAGTAATATACATCCGATACAAAATCCATTCTGAGCAATCTAAATCACATCGTGTGTACTACCAACTATAAAGTAAAGTGATTTTGAAATTTGTAACAAAATTCCAGGTTCGCTAGATAACAGCACTATTGGAAGTTTCAGTGTTAGGGATGTCCTAGTGCAGTCTAAATCAAAGATTTTATGCAAAATTCAATTCAATTATCTTTTGGAGACATGACTCAAACAAGTAAAACTAGTTAAGTATAATAGACTGCCACACAACGGCAAAAGAGCTATGGAATAGCAAATTTTCTATTCATCTTAAAGGAACATCTAAGAGGACTGACTTTTGGGATATATCTCTCAATCATCAGAAGCCTTTGGAGAATTTTCTGGGGTCTTGATAACTGTAGACGTCTCCCCCTTGTGTGCCATGACAGCAGCTTTAAACTCCTCCACTATGGACCCGTCCTTGAACTTCAAGGCAAATGTTGAAAGACCACCTTTCCCTTCGGCAGCACTATTCATGCAGGCAAAAGTAACACCTTTCTTTTCCATATTTGTGAGCTTCATATCAGGATAAACTCGAGCATTCAAAATCAATCTTAAATTTCCCTTTGACCTCATCAGAAGTCTGGCCTTTTCTGTCCCGCTAGTAACATTCACCCTCAGTTCTCCCTTTCCTCGTTCCTTCCAACTTCCATCAACAAACTCAAATAATACTGAATCCGAATTAAAAATCACTCTCTCATTTTCTTCACCAGTTTCAACCACAACCTCCTGCATTGCTGCAAACCCACTTCCCTCACTCTTAGAAACAGCAGAGGCCCCAGATGCCCCAAAAACAGAACTTCCATTGTTGGATAAACCCAGACCAAAAGGCTTATCATTTTTTGTTCCAAAAATAGAACCAGACCCATCATTTGAGGTGGACACAAAGGAAAATGAAGAAGTAGAAAATCCAGTTCCAGCAAGACCTATGAAGGCATTTTGGCTACTTGAGAGCATTTGAAATGACTTCAAATGGCCACCTTCGGCACTTGGTTCTGCACTTTCTACTTTGTTATCTTTCTTATCCCCATAGTCAGTTTCTTCTTTCTTATCATCATTTTCAGAAGCATTGTCATTCTTAGTTTGTCCTTTATCTCCCTCACTGGCACTCTCACGTGCAGCATCCTTCTTATCCTCATTTTCACTTTCATTGACATCCTTAATTTGATCTTTATCTACCTCAGATTTGTCACCAGTACTTTCATTTTCTGCAATATGTTTCCCATCTGCATTGCTTTCTTCTGCAGATTCATTATTTGCAATAGGCTTATCCACTACCTCATCAGTTTTGTTCTCTGACTGCTTAGTTTCCCCATCTTTAGCTTTCACAGAAACCTGAGCTATATCATCACTACCTTTTGAATCATCTGCAATGGTGTTCTCACCAGTTGATTGTACTTCAATAGTAGCTTCAGCAGGGTTAGCACTGGATTCAGTGGGAGCAACTAATCGTATCCCAGCAAAAGGGTTTGAAGAAGGAGCAGAACTAGTCTGTTGGCGACGAACTTTGACTATTCTTCTGGTTGCCAGAACCTCATCATTTGCTCTCTTGAAAGTCCCAGTCTCAAGCTCACCGACATCTTCCTCATCATCAATAGGAGTATCTCGAGTGAGCTCCCTTCCAGCAGCCCTTTTCTTTGAAGGTGGTGGGGCATTCTCAGCATCCCCCATTTTAGAAAGAAATCAGTAAATGAACTAAAGAATTTTTTTTCTAACAAGTTGTAGTACAGCAATATCTGCAATCAGGAAAGTATGATTATAATTCTTTTCTTCTCGAGTAGCGTACAAATTCAAAGTAACGAGAATAACACAACCTATATGAATCAATGGCATATTATGTATTCCGAAGTCACATATACAAACTAAAAAACCTGACAACTTGTTAAAAACAATACTGCCAAATACCATATACTATGAAAATAACACCCAACAGAAACACAGGCAAGACTAGTAATCCCAAAAACATGAAGTTCACGAGGTAACCATTTTTTTTTCTCCTAAGAAGTCTATGGAAGCCCAAGTAAACACCAGCGCCTAGAGTATGTAAATATGCTTACATTATTTGTAGCTTGCAATAATTTGATCCCATATAGCACAAAACAGCACAATTTAAAAAGGGCAAAAAAAAAAAAGACAGCTCAAAGAAGCATTCCAGGCATAACATTAAACAATAACTAGTAACTACCAGCTGAAGCAATCAATCTAGTGACGATATGCAAAATATAAAAAAGAAAATTGTACCATTATTCTGAAGTAGTAAATTGCTAATGTATTATTTGGTTCCGCTGAGTTTGTATTCTGTCTGAGGCGTGAACAGTTTATGATAAATAACTAACATGACTATTAAAATGAGCAATTTATCAAATATTTTCAGACATTGCCAGATCTAAATTTCAAGCTAAATCATAGAGAACCCTAAATAATTGCATTTCGGCCCATCTATCCGTAGAAAGAGGCAAGAAAAAAAAAACATCGGAATCTTAAAACCAATCAGAGGGATCTAGGAAAACAAATATACTGTTCCCATAAACCTAGTTAGCAATAGTAATATGAATCATATCTGGTCGTTGGAAACATAAAATCTAGGGTGAGTAGTAAAAATACCAGAAAGAACAAATCAAAGACTATAATAAAGGAATATATAGGCAAAAAGAGCTGCAGAGGCTAATTACAGGAACACAAGGAACAATAATTCGTTCGATATCCCACGATTCTGACGGTATCTTTCGATTTCACGAGTTGGCGAAACTAAACTATGAATGAATCGTGATATTCCGTATAGTGAACTATTGTTTACAAAAATAAAACAATAAATAAAAAAAATCTAGAGAAAGTGAAGAGTGTGGGGTGAAAACCCTAACCCGATGGAGACTACAGAGGAAGAAGATGATAGCGGCAGCAATATAGTCACACAGCTGGCACCAGCACTCTCCTTTTTCATTTCTTTTAATTACAGCCAGAGTAAACACTTAAGACATATATATAATATTACAAAAAAAAAACATATATATAAGAGAAATAGAAATTTCATGTTAAAATGTTAAATGATACAACTTCTTTTTCCTACGCACTTAGAATTAGTTAGAAATATATAAAAATATATAAAGAATTTATATTTCTGTAGCTTGTTGCATGAAATAGTTGTCATATATATATATATATATATATATATATATATATATATTTGAAAGCATTAAATACGGAGAATCATAACCACACAAATGATAAAAGTATTAAATATGGAGAATCATAACCATACACATGTCGTTATTGTACGTAAATCGGCTGCAGAAATGATTTTACCAATATATAAAGCATTTTATTATTCTCTTTTTACTTAAGATAATTATCTTATGTTGTAGAGAGAAAATGGGTGGTTTCACCATTGCATAAAAAAAGAAAAAGGTCAAGTGCGAAAATCGAAGTGAAATAACATAAAGAGAAGTTATCTAATATGATAAAGAGAAGTTATCTTATATGAAAGAAAGTAATATTTCTCATATATAAATATGGGAAAAGTAATTCTCCTGTTGCAGCAAAATTGATGTTCTCCTATCAATGAGAGGTAGATTTGTGCGCCAACATTTCAATTTTTTTCTTTTAAATCAGTCGGACCCATTTAATTGTATCAAATTCAAAAAAATTCTCTTCTTCTGCCGCATGAGAAGATGCAACCGCTATAAATATATACGAAAAAGTATTTCTACAAGCGACTTTACATAATATTATCTATGACTATTTTTTTTAACTAAGTCTGACCACAGTGACCAGTAAAACATAGTTATAACAATAAAGCTGTTCTTTTTTTCTCTCTCATCATACATTGTCGGCTGATGTGACGGAAAGAGAAAATATAATTTTTATGTCTTACTAGTCAGATTTAGTGTCTGTTTGGATTCTCTCTATTTTTAAACTAGAAGCTACTTATAAGCATAAGCTAGTCCAAACAGGTTTTGAGAAAAACTCTTGTAATAAAAAGCTCTTAGGAAGAGCTTTTTTTTTTAACATCTTATTTGCTTTTTTTGAATTGTGTGATTTTTTTTTTAAAATAAAGAGCTATAAAGATAGAGAAAGAGATAGTTTTCTTGAAATATGTGCTTTTAAGCTAAAATTTTTATAAGCTTTTATTTTAGTTTTAGCTTATAAGTTGCTTCTAACTTAAAAAGAGAGGATCCAAATAGGTTTTTAGTTAAAAATGATAGCCGTAGATAACGTTATCTAGAATGACTGTAGAAATGTTTAACCTATATATATATATATATATATATATATATATATATATATATATATATATATATATATATAATACAAATATCTATTTATTTAATTATTTCCTTTATTAATACAAATTTTTTAGATTGATATTTGAATTTAAGTTACAAATCAAACCTTTATTTTCTATTTTTTTTTGGAAATATTCCAATCAGTTCATTGTTTCGCAACTAATCCGATTCAAGGTGAGTCCAGGATTAAGGCTTTAAACCCCTCCCAAAGGTGGTACTGGGGAGATCAAATCTTTATTTTCTTTTCCTTATTAATAATATTTTTTGTAGATTTGTTTTTTGAATTTAAATCACAAATCTAATCTTTATTTATTTTTTTATATTAAAAACTATAAATTCTGATTTATTTTCGTATCATATGATACATGATCGTATCATATGATACAACCCTATTTCTGATACACCTCACAGTACATATTGCCGAGCTTGTGAATCGTATCTATCGTATGATATAGGTATTGATAATTATGTTATAGAATATATCAAAGGTCATTAAAAATAAATAATCATATATAAACCATGGGTTTTATAAGAGTTATGTTGTAGGAAAAGTGATTGTGTAATGTTATAGAGATTCGTTTTGTGTGCCATAATTTTTTCTTTTTCTTTTCTCTTCAAAAAGTATGGGTCCCACAAAATGTTGTGTGTGTAGGAAAGTTTGTTGTGTCATGTTAAATGACAAATGTAAACCCCATAAACCATATGAAAGGTAATCAATTATATTTTACAACAAAAATGAATTTTTTTCAATAGTGATATGTTTCAATATAAAATAAAATTTCATCTACGCATCAATAAAAATGAAATTTTCTATTAACATCTAAGGATATTATATATCCAAATTTGTATTAAAACATATTGCATAGAATGCATGTTTGTAATTTTGTGAATAATAATAACTAATGTTTTTGTAAATGTAGTAGTTGAAGAAAATCAATGGTTTTACTTTCAAATATATAACATACTAATAGCAGTTATTCAATATTAGTATTAAGATCATTTTTTTATTGTTAGTTTGTTACTTTTAGTTTGTCACTAGAGTTGTTGTATTCTATTATTATTCCTGGTGAGTAAATCTTTATTTGATGACATCCTTTAATAATGAATTTAGTAAAGGCAGTAATTAAATTTTCACTTATATTAACTTTTTTTTTTTACTTTTTTACTTGTATATTTGTGTATACATACTATTTTATTAAAAGAATTAAATTATAAAAAATTTATAATTTGTATAAAATATGTTAAGAAAGTGTTAAATATTTATTTGTTAAAATATTTTTTAATGTATTGAGTATGATAAAAAAAAGGGAAAAGTTCACCAATGCCCCTGAGGTTTGCTTCAGAATCACCTATGCCCCTGTGATTTTTTATTTATCACATATACCCCTGTGATTTGTAAAAAGGTATGTTTTTTATCACATATGCCTCTGTGGTTTCTTATTTTTTATAAAGCACAGGGGCATATGTGATAAAAAAAACCACAGGGGCATAGGTGATTCTGAAGCAAAGCACAGGGTCATTGACGAACTTTTTCCTAAAAAAAATTATGGAATTATAATTTTGGATGGCCCACGGGTTGCCCCTAACCCATAGGGTTTTTAACATGTGCGAGCCTCTATTATTGAGATTCATTTGGCCATGCAAACTTTTTAGCTCTAACCCACACAAGCTAGGGCCTAATAGGACGAGCTGACCCATTTTGGCATCTCTAAATAAAACATCTACCAATAAAAAATTATAGGGATTAGGGGTGTTCATCAACCAATTCAAACCACAGTGACCGAACCAAAAAATTGATAACCGAAAATTGAAAAATCAAAAGCCGAAAAAACTCGCATAATTTAACTGGATTGGATCGATTTCGGTTTAGTTGGTGAAAATCGATCCAATATATTATATATTTATTATTTTTGAAAGATGATGACTTGGAATCTTGAAAGTTATTGATAGCAAACTATCCTGTTTTAGTTTTTATTGTATATTAATCTATTTTAACTCTTCATGAATTTTAAGACTTGTTTAGTTTGAAGATTTGAATTTTTTAGTGGTTTATAACTTTAAATGACTTTATTTTGATATAGTTAGTGATTTGTATGGCTAAAATTTTAGACTTTTCGAAAAATCAAAAATCAATCCAATCTAAACCAAATAAAATTGGATTGGATTGGATTGATTTTTTTTAAAAAAAATCCAAACCGAAGGGATTAGATCCAATAATTATTACTTCAAAATCGATCTCATCCAGACAGCAAACACCCTAGTAGGAATAGGATATTATGCCTATAATTTTTTATGCCTACTCTACCTACTCACTCCAACATCATTAGATTAGAATCTTAAAAAAAGAGATAAAGCGTGAAAGTTAATTGAAATTATGATACAATAATATTAGAGATGAGTAGGTAAGAGAGAAATGAAAAAATAGTAGGAAAAATATCCTATAACAATATTCATTGTCAAAATTTTACATAATAAATGTTAGACTTTTATCTTGTAAAAAGTTTGTGTTTATCATTTCCTTTAAATGAATATTAAATAAATTATATTTTTTAAAGATTTATAAATATTTAAACAAGATATTCCATTTCCATGAATACATTAATGTCTGTGTTTATCAAAACCAAAAATTCAATAAATTCATATAGAATTTTATCATAAAATTCATCATTACTAAATGTTAGTGTTTTTAAAATTTTTCATCGAATTTATCCTGAAATTTAAATTATGTATAGAATTAATCATTAAATATAAACCTAATTTTCAGTGTAAATTTTTTTCACTTTATTAAATAATTATTGTTAATCTTTAACAGAAATATCTTTTTTTAAGTACAGACTTTGTTAAAATTTTAATTTTCATATTCTCTTTGTAATTGAAAATTAATTTAAGTATGACTTTTAAAGCAAAAATTATTCTTGGCTTCCTGCTCCCATCATCCAAGTGCATAGATCGAGCGAACTTTCTACTACCTTCTCCAACAAGGTCACAATTGAAGATATTTAGGACAGAGCACAGATCAAAATATGTAGTAAAATGGATTTCAGGTTTCTTCTAAACCTCACTGTTAATAAGTTAAACAAGGAATATCTTCTTTTCATTTAGTATGCTGTTTGCCGTTTGGCATAAGGGCTTGATGCAACTCCACTGTTTCTCCACCAAACGCATTATGAATTCCATGAATTCCTCAAATGACCCAACGTCACTCATTTCCAACCGCAGTTTATTTAATCAGAGGATGAACTATCAAAGTACGATCCCTTACAATAAAGACGACCAAGCTTAACCCTACTATGTTCTACGTGAACGTTGGACAATCAACGAATGCATGAAAAAAAAAAATTCAATTTAGAAGGACTTGGGAGAGCATCTTGTCAACAGATACAATCTTGGAGAAGAATCATTATCTTCTCTATTAACCATCCACGTTTACAATCCAAAGAAACATTAAGATTTAAAAAACATGGTCGAGAAAAAATTATCTACCTAAAATTTAAACAGGCATCCATCTCTAGTTCAGCTTTTCTACATTCACAATGGAGGGAATACATTGAGGCAAAAACCCCAAAAGAATGTGCTATAAACTCTAGTAAATTGCAATTGATCCTAAGGAATATTGTTTATACCACGTGCAAAATGACAAAA